AGGCTTGGTTTATATGACCTTGACCTCATTTTCATGGATCATTGATAATGTTAAGTTTATGTGATACCTGTAAAAATTTATCTTTAGGACTACTAACATAAAATCATTCAAGATTAGTAAAGCAGGTGAGACATATTTCAGTGTGTGCACTCCTTTTTTTTTTTACTTAACGTTCCTCCATCTTTATTTCAATTAATGGAATAACAAAAGTTGTATAGATGAAAGTACAGAACAATCATTTGCCTTCAGATGTAAAATGAATGTTATATTTATTTAGTATTGTATTTGCATGCTTTTGTTAGGCCTTACATATTTAACTTAGCTGCATTAAAGCAAATAGCAAACAGCAGAACATCATGTTACCAATCATAGAAATAAATAAGAATCATGTTCCTTTTCCCGTTGGTAAACATGAAGATTAATAGAAACACCAGTTTGTGCAGATATCATTAGACTATATGCAGTTTTGACCTTTTCATGATACCAAATTTAATAGTTTATTTAGGATAATGAAATTGGACATGTCACCAACGAAATAGATAGGTGAAGAATTAGTTCTTGGGAAGACATTCTTACGAAATTGGACTTGTCACAGAGTGTTGGAATAAATTACGATTGAACAATTTTAGAGGGAAAATTAATCAGCTTTTTGACATCTTGAAGGAAATGTTAGTCTTGATATTGGCTGGCTGGTCTAGACAAATGGATCTTATATTGTATGAGTGATTGAATTTTAGTATGGTTTCTTAGCTCTAGCGGAAGAGGCAATTGTCAGGCTGTTTTAAGGGATCAGTTCACAGAAAATTAACTATTATTTGGAACGATGAATTAACAGTCTGTAATTTGATCTGATACTTGGCAGCAGTAAATTTGTATTAGAAGATTATTACTCCTGTTTAGGATTGGTAGTTATAAAACAGTATTGGTTTCCTTTATAAATAGTTATGTAATAGTCATTGTTTACCTACAATCCAAACATATTCATTGATGTTTTATACTACAGCTTTTCTTGTAAGATTGACTGAATCATAAATTACATACAAAAAGATTTTTTATGGTAAAATCTATTTTCTTTCTATCAGAATTATAGAAAGAACTTTTAGTAATCTTAGTTGCTAGAAAACAGTACTTGGATGGAAAGTTGTCTCATTGGCACTCATACCACATCTTCTTATAACTATAAATCCTTGAAGTGGTTAAATCAGTAATTAACTGACCAATATGAACTGCCATCAGTTTTTGAAAGAAAAGATCTCAACATTTGTAAAGAGATGTATCTTATCGTATTTTTTCATTTTTTGCTTTAAAACCAAGATATAGTTAAAAGATATTTTATATTGTAATTTAAGAATATGTTATAGGTTCTTGTTTGTCAGTTGTTATTTTCTGCTGTCAATATTTCATAATAAAGAATCTCAAACTCTTAGAGTATCTTCTGTTTAATAAGATTATTTTGTCAAATATTGATGAAAATATATAATATTAATATTAGTATGGCAACAGTTGTATATAATTCAGCTTGACGAGCTAGGAATTGTATGTTTCATATGCTGGTTGTTTTTCAAGACCATGCAAGTCATTTAAAGGAAGATTTGCAGGTTTTAGTCAATATGTTTGGATTTCTGTTATACATCAGTTTATTTTAAGTGATATCCTGTTTTTCTTATTTTATGGTCTCCTAAACTAAAGAAACATCACCAACCAATTTTGCTGTACTAAGTAACAATACATTCTTGATTAGGTAATAATATATGAGATTGTGACCTTAAAATCTCAAAACCCAGGATGAATGATAATGGAAAAATTTTTAGACTGATAGAAAGTGGAACAAAAAATTATCACATTTAGTAAATTTTGTAAATTATTTTCAACATAGTAACTTGTACTTGTGATGCTGAATTCTGAAATCTGTTAGAGAAATTTATAATTTGATAGATAATAAAGTTGGGACAGATTTGTTTGTTTTAATTATGAATTACTTCCAAAGGTAGCATTTCCTTTTTTTAATGGGCAAGATATTATATTTAACATGTACAAACAACTATGTTTTGAAGGTTATGGTGAAACTTGTTTTTATATACAAAATTGCAAATTCAAAAGTCAAATATTAAGCCCTTAAAATATTTGAAAAGAGAGTTTTTCAATAACTGCTTTGAATAAAACATTTGTAAAGAATGAAGGAATGTAATTATTACATGTACGAATATGCTGCTTTAGGAATCTTGTCTGATTTGGAGGCCCACACCATCAAAAGTGCTTTGGCTTTTACTGTCTTATTGACATCGGGGGGGGGGGGGGGGGGGGGGGGGGGGGGGGGGGGGGGGGGGGGGGGTGGGGGGGGGGGGGATGATGAGTTTCTATAGTAAAAGAACGGTTTTGTCTCGCCTGCAATGATATTTTCACAATCAAGACTTCCGAGACGATGTTATTTCAGTTACATAGCATCAACAGCTGTTGGATTTAGGTTACACAGGAAAGACATATCTCTTTGGTAACAGTTTATTATATTAATGTGGTAGCAGAGAGTAGCATGCTACCTATTGCTAGTTGTTTATGTCTTTACATTTATGTAGTATAATAGTAAGCTATTAATACAAACAGTAATTTGTATGTTACACCAAATCACTTCCTTTGTTGGGATAAAGTGTACTCAGTCTTAACTTTTCCGTGTAGGGTTTCTGAACTGTTGGTTTTATATGTTTTTTTTTGGGGGGGGAGGTGTTTTTAATTTTGGCCATGACATTGTCGGTTTTCCATAGACTTGTGATTTTTTTTTTATTGTCCCTTTGATGTTTTCTGCCTTTTTTTCAAGGAGTCATTCTAATAAGTTGTGGTGTTTTCTATATTTGCTGGTCTTTCATGCTTATTAATTTACTTGAAGTGAACCCTACACCATAAAGTGTATATCCATTAGTTATCTCCCCTTGAACTGATGAATATGCTTCTTAATATGATGTAAATATCAATTCAGAATTTTCCATAAATAATTCAAAATTAAAGCAGGTTATAGAAGTTGTTTGTTTTGTTATTTAAGCCATATGTTTTTGTCTAGAATTATAACCCTTAGTATCAACAGGTTACCAGCATCCTACCCATGGGCTCAAACAACACCTCAAAGTGTTATAACTATTATAAATTATTTATAACTTTGCACTTTCCAAGAAATTAATGCTGGGCAAAATTAGAAAACTTATTACCCTATGGAGAGAAGTAAAATTATTAATGTAAAAAGTAATTTTGGAGCCTGATGATTCGCAGTTATTTAATGATAACCAATAGTCAGGAGATTTCAGGCTTTAAGAGAACAGCTTCATGTTTTTTTCCCCTAACATCAACTGTATCAAGGAATCAATACTGTCAAATTGCTAATAAAAAAATTTATGTAATTTAAAAAATTGTGTTGGAAAGATGGAACCGAATGTTACATTATACTTTCAAAGTTGAAAGAGGCTTCATTTTGATGACATGCATTGATATATTGGACATAAACTAATAAATAGTTCAGAATTATTATACTGAATCTTCTGTAGGACAGGATACAAAGTGTTGCTTGTAGAATGATGATACATTCTCAACAAAATACAGAAATCACTCTGTTGTGAAAAATATATTTTTTACACAATAAGATTGATAAAACATAAAAATAATAAGCATTGCTTGGCACTGGAATATTTCATGTAACAAAACTAACTTTGTTTGGAGCAATTGTTAGAAAAAATTTGTGTAATCAAGAATATATATAACCTGTAAAATATGGATTGTAAAATATTTTGAAAACGTTAACTTGAACAAAATATAAATTTTAAACTTTATATTGAATTGAACTTTGAGAAAAAAGTTTTGAAGTGATCTTGCTTTGATCAAAGCCCATTGATTGGATGGGTCACAAAATCAATATCTGAAGAAACACAGGATAAACAATTCACAGATTATTTAGTGTTTCAAGACAGTATCTGCAACGAATTAGAAGTAATTAAAGATGATGGTCATAAAGAAAGTAAAAAAAGTGTTTAAAAAATGTGTCTTTGGGATGAGGTTATCTCCCTTGAAGGTCAAGCTACCTAAGATAACGTTACCCAAGAAAAAGAAGGTAAGGGGAATTTATTATTTCAGTAAAATTTTGTTTAAAGAAACTTTGAAAAATCTGATTTATTTCTCCTTTTAATTAAATTGTATGGAGAAAATATTTTCATTGACAGATGAAGTACTATCATTCTATAAAGAAATCAGAATTATAAAGCAAAAATCAGAGGAGTTACTCAAACAGATCTAATGTTTCTGGTCAATGTATTTTACAGTTTGAAAGATAATAGATTAAATTCTAAGATTTCAAGCATTCATAGCTAAGTTTAAGTAAAATGACAGTCAAAACTATACCTTATCCTTGCTTGTGCTGAAAAAATTGAACATACCTTTAATTGTATGCAAGACTGCACTAGTACAAAACAGGTACTTTTGATCTGAGCAGCAATTAAACTACGCCCTCTTTAGTATATCTTTTAACAAGGGTTCTACAGTGACCCAAAGTCATAAAGCTTTTGTTTGATACATAAGTACCCAAATATTTTACTCATTAACCAAGTGACTGTTTATGTGTAGAAACTATTTTGTTTAAAATATGTACTACTTTCTTCTATGTTCTTTTTGACAGAGCCTCGATTAGCAGTTCTTGATACCTTTAAGCAAAGCATTGACACATGTTCTTTTAAACGTTAAAATTAATATTGCTTTGGAAAAACAGGTTGCTTTAGGTGACAGTTCTTCATAAAAACTACAATTTACCAAAAGAAAATTGGTTGATACTTGATTTTACTACAAAAAAAAGTAAAGTGGTTGTTATGCAGTTACACCACTGTCCTATGTTAGGGGAGGGATGAGCACTCACAAACAGGTATAGCCATCCGACCCTTTACACCACTGTCCTATGTTAGGAGAGGGATGAGCACTCACAAACAGGTTTAGCCATCCTATCCTTTACACCACTGTACTATGTTAGGAGAGGGATGAGCACTCACAAACAGGTTTAGCCATCCGACCCTTTACACCACTGTCCTATGTTAGGAGAGGGATGAGCACTCACAAACAGGTTTAGCCATCCGACCCTTTAAACCACTGTCCTATGTTAGGAGAGGGATGAGCACTCACAAACAGGTTTAGCCATCCAACCCTTTACACCACTGTCCTATGTTAGGAGAGGGATGAGCACTCACAAACAGGTTTAGCCATCCGACCCTTTACACCACTGTCCTATGTTAGGAGAGGGATGAGCACTCACAAACAGGTTTAGCCATCCGACCCTTTACACCACTGTCCTATGTTAGGAGAGGGATGAGCACTCACAAACAGGTTTAGCCATCCGACCCTTTAAACCACTGTCCTATGTTAGGAGAGGGATGAGCACTCACAAACAGGTTTAGCCATCCGACCCTTTACACCACTGTCCTATGTTAGGAGAGGGATGAGTACTCACAAACAGGTTTAGCCATCCGATCCTTTACACCACTGTCCAATGTTAGGAGAGGGATGAGTACTCACAAACAGGTTTAGCCATCCGACCCTTTACACCACTGTCCTATGTTAGGAGAGGGATGAGCACTCACAAACAGGTTTAGCCATCCGACCCTTTAAACCACTGTCCTATGTTAGGAGAGGGATGAGCACTCACAAACAGGTTTAGCCATCCGACCCTTTACACCACTGTCCTATGTTAGGAGAGGGATGAGCACTCACAAACAGGTTTAGCCATCCGACCCTTTACACCACTGTCCTATGTTAGGAGAGGGATGAGCACTCACAAACAGGTTTAGCCATCCGACCCTTTACACCACTGTCCTATGTTAGGAGAGGGATGAGCACTCACAAACAGGTTTAGCCATCCGACCCTTTACACCACTGTCCTATGTTAGGAGAGGGATGAGTACTCACAAACAGGTTTAGCCATCCGACCCTTTACACCACTGTCCTATGTTAGGAGAGGGATGAGTACTCACAAACAGGTTTAGCCATCCGATCCTTTACACCACTGTCCTATGTTAGGAGAGGGATGAGTACTCACAAACAGGTTTAGCCATCCGACCCTTTACACCACTGTCCTATGTTAGGAGAGGGATGAGCACTCACAAACAGGTTTAGCCATCCGACCCTTTAAACCACTGTCCTATGTTAGGAGAGGGATGAGCACTCACAAACAGGTTTAGCCATCCGACCCTTTACACCACTGTCCTATGTTAGGAGAGGGATGAGCACTCACAAACAGGTTTAGCCATCCGACCCTTTACACCACTGTCCTATGTTAGGAGAGGGATGAGCACTCACAAACAGGTTTAGCCATCCGACCCTTTACACCACTGTCCTATGTTAGGAGAGGGATGAGCACTCACAAACAGGTTTAGCCATCCGACCCTTTACACCACTGTCCTATGTTAGGAGAGGGATGAGCACTCACAAACAGGTTTAGCCATCCGACCCTTTACACCACTGTCCTATGTTAGGAGAGGGATGAGCACTCACAAACAGGTTTAGCCATCCAACCCTTTACACCACTGTCCTATGTTAGGAGAGGGATGAGCACTCACAAACAGGTTTAGCCATCCGACCCTTTAAACCACTGTCCTATGTTAGGAGAGGGATGAGTACTCACAAACAGGTTTAGCCATCCGACCCTTTAAACCACTGTCCTATGTTAGGGGAGGGATGAGTACTCACAAACAGGTTTAGCCATCCAACCCTTTAAAGTCAGCAGAAGCCTGTAATCCAATGCAAACATTATGAAATCTTCTTATTGTGCATCTGCAAGTTCTGTAAAATAAACAATGTGATTCACTATAGATAATACTTCTACTCCTTAAACTGTGTAACTTAACTTTTACAATAAAGTTTCATTAAATGATCATATACTGGAGTGGAAAGTTCAAATGTATCACATTTATTTACAATTGGCAGAAGCATAATTTTTTCAACATTTATATCATCCGATTCCTATAAATTTAGGCTTGTACTAAAACTATGTACTACCATCCCTTTAGTTGTGTCTCTATAATATGAAACATAGATATATATGTAAACAGTTGTGCAAAGTACACATTATGTGCAACTATTCTGTCAAGGAAGTAAATTTCTTGACACCAAAAAATCCAAGTATAGGCAATAGGTAAGGGATTAAATGTTAATTTCTTGATCAGTCCAAAAAATCATTTGAAATTCTTTTTAGTTATAGCTTACTACAAGTATTTGTAATCATTGAAACAAAAAACCATGGAAAAAGTGAATATGAAAACCTCAAATTTTTCAAAAGGAGACTGATGATACATAGCTGACTCTCCTATAAATTATACCAATTTAGAATGATGGAGGTGACATATGTTGCATGCCTTGACAAATAAAGGACAATTAAGTTGACACCTGTCAGACAGTCATGTATATGTAAACCAATAAAAAACTGAAGGGTGGCACATATTAGATGTTTCTGTATACCAATTCCAGTTGAGGAGGAGAGTGACAAAACTCTCATGTGCACCTAAAACAGATAAGAACTATTGGGTGACATTATTCCTGATTTCATTGGAATAGGTGAACACCCAATTTAAATGTGAAGATATACAAATTTCATCTAGGCTTGTGTGAATAATTTGTGAAAGCCGTTAAACCAAGTATCCTTAAAGATAGAATAGAATTCTTCTGAATTCATGAAAATTTGTTACCAAGGAAATAAATGACTCAACAATATACAGAGACAAGTAAAGAAAGAGGCTAGTGACACATGTCAGGCTATTGTAATTAGACCAAGTGAGAATGATTACAGTGATACTTGTGAAACTACCATAATTAGGACTAATAAGAATGATTACAGTGACACTTCTCCGACTATCATGCTTATACCAGTTGAGAATGATTCAATGACACATGTCTGACTATCATACTTATACCAATTGTGAATGATTCCATGACACCTATCCGACTATCATACTTATACCAATTGAGAATGATTCCATGACACCTATCCAACTATCATACTTATACCAATAGACAATGATTCAATGACACCTGTCCGACTATCATACTTATACCAATTGAGAATGATTCAATGACACTTGTCAGACGATCATACTTATACCAATTGACCATGATTCAATGACACCTGTCCGACTATCATACTTATACCAATTGAAAATGATTCAATGACACTTGTCTGTCCGACTATCATACTTCAAACAATTCAGGATAATTAATGTGTACAGTGACACATGTCAGACTCTCATACTTAAACCAATTGAGAATGATAACAATGACAAATGTCAACCTATAAACATTTTGAGAATGCTTTATTTAGTACAGTGACACTTGTTTGGCTATCATATGTAGACCAAGTGAAAATGATTACAATAACACTTGTCCAACTGTCATCTTCTCGACCAATTGAGAATGGTTACAGTTACACTTGTCAGACTATCGCAAATAGAGAATGATAACTGTGACACCTGTCAAACTATTGTTAGACTTATTCAAAATGATGTCACTAACATCCGTCAACCTCTTATGTATGCTACTATGACACCTCTCCACCTCTAAAGGAATTGAGAATGATAACATTGATGTGGGAAACCATCATACTTGGATAAACGAAAAATTGTTAAAGTGACAGCTAGAAATTAAGAATTGTTATAGTGACACCTGTCAAACTATGTCATACTTAGTGACAATTGTCAAACTGTACTGTATTCCAAGATAAAGTAAGACACTTCATAGATCAATGAGACATCAACACAATCACACAAACAACCAATACATATGATGAAGGCAACTAAGAGTCTTCAATAGGTTGGTGTCCATTCAATTTGTTGACCTTCTTAAATCTATAACATTTGTTTTAAAAATTAATCAGAAACAATCATAGATCTGCCATTTGTTGTTTTCCATTTGAATTTCAATGACAATGTAGCTGACATGTGTAGCAGTAAACTGCTACTAACCAATCATTTATGTGTTGAGTACATGTGTCTAGGTTAGCATGTGCATTCAAACTAAACAGCCTCAGCCAATCATTGCCTCAGGTGTTAAACACAATTATTTTAAAGCTTGTATGAATTTGAATTGTAGAGATAATTGATACTGACTGTATTATTACTAGTCATTAGGATCCATCAATTTCTTAATTGGTATGGCCACTAATTAGTTTTGTCTGCACCATTCCATTTTTAATTAACTTTCTTGCTTATAAGTATTACTTTGGGTCCATTGGGCATCAAATTATGTAATAAATTGGTCTGGAAATATCTATTTAAATGCTCAATATGGTAATTTGTTTAACTGTGAAGAATTGTCTTCTATTTCCTGTTATTTTCAAGTTTATTTGTTTGTATCACACAGATAGACAATGGACTTTTCTTTTCAATTCTTAAGGTGTTGTAGAATAAAAGATTTTTATTTGTAATTTTAATTGTTTTATTTGCTTCATTTGATTTTGTTAGTAAAAGATTGTATACATTACAGACAAAAAAGATGAGAGGATTTACAGTGTTATAGGAGAAATAATTGATATTGTATGAGTGAATGAGAGGATTTACAGTGTTATAGGAGAAATAATTGATATTGTATGAGTGAAAGGTAAACAAATACAGATTCTGTGGTGCTTCCATGTAATGTAGAGATGCCATGATGGTCAATGTGTCAGATTTACTCTTCTTTGTCAGAATATTTTATTATATTAACAATAAATCCATGAAGGAGTTTTTATTGGAATATTATTGAATTACTAGGATCTTTTGTAAATCACAAACAAAATAGGAAGATATTCTTTCACTCGAAATAATTTGTTCACAAGTTTTATACCACACATAGGATAAACAGGATTTTTGTTGTGTTCTGAGATGAGCTTTTGTAGTTGATTAGTTTACTATCAAGTGAGGTGTACCTGATTAGGTCGATTAAGATGTATTTGATTAATTCCTTCTTCGTAATGCTTTACAGTTTTTGTCCAATGGTCTCAATGTCCAATACTAGGTTTAGAAATATCTAGCTGTTTAGAAGTGATTTATATTTTACAACTCTTCACAATAATCTTGAAATGTGTAAGTATTTGACCTGAACCTGTGGGTTTAACAATTAGAATGAGATGTCTGCAAGGATCTTGAACAGAATTGCATGATAATTGACTAAAACTTAAGTCTGAGTGAATTATCATGTAATTCTGTATCATGTAATTCTGTACAAATCCTTGCAGACATCTCATTCTAATTGTTTGGGTCAAATATATATTGCTTTTTGTATTTGCTAGAACTTGAGTCTAAAGAAAGCAATATATAATCAAGTGGTGATAACCTGTGAAAGAAAATTAGAATGACATACTTACATTTAAAAAAAATGTTAAACTTGATGTAAAAAGATGACTTACCTTGTGTTCAACATTTAGTACCCCTTTTTCAGGAGATCCCACTTTCTAAATCATTTGACTTTCATTATTTCATAGGGTATATAGAACATCAAAATTTCAGCACTTTGTTAGGTTTGATCTATATTTTTATTGAACTCATGTGATCATTTTAGTTGTCTATTCCAAACAAAATTGTTACTTCAAAAGGGTTTTGTTTACTGTACATATAATCATATTTTTTTTAGTACTGAATGATCTGCAAAAATATTCAGTATGAAAATTGAGTTATCCCTCTTTGAATGATTCTTTCAATTCATATCAATTTGCAATTTTTAGAAGAAGTTTTTTTTTTTTAGGGAAGCAAAGCTTATATACTCATTAGCAGAACTCTGATGTGTTTTCTTTCATTGTTCTATATGAGTTTAAATTAATAAATCAATTGATGTATCCTTTTTATGGAGATTTTTAAGGGAGTATTCAGTTTTAATGATTTTCCATGCTATCAAGATTATATTAAAGAACACCTGTTGCATATGGGGGGAAGTGTCAAAACATTATTATTGGTATGCATATTGGAATGTTAATATGATTGTTTACATGTGTTCAGTCTGTCTTTTTCTCAGCTGTAGCATCATAAAAAAAGTTATTGAAATAGTAACTAGTGACTCATAGTTAAGATGTAGATAGGTGCAAAAATATCTTATATATTATGCTTACTCTTCTATAATCTGAACATCATTCATGGACGGCATGTCATAATCCAATAGAGTCTACACTATTTGGAATTTACTCTTACTTTGAATGTTTGGAATCTTCTTCAAATGACTTAAAACGGGTATAAGTGTACTATTGATGTATGTTCAAATTTTATGCTACATTGTAAATGTTTAACAGTGTTGAAATAAATATTTCCACAAAATAATTTTCAAAGCTTTACACTCAGTTGTGTAGTTTGGACATTGCTTACTCAAACTAAATTAATGTAGTATATTCACTTTACTACACTACAACTACTGTATGTAATATTATTTGCTATGCATTATTTTTATTTTTCCAAACAAGACCTAAATCCAAACAGTCTGAGTCTTTGAGTTGATTCCATGTAGTGGTATAAAACAGGGACTGTAATAATCAATAGAAGAAAGATCTGAGGGGGGGGGGGGAGGTTCCTGGAGAGTTTTTGAGTTGGATTCCATGTAGTGGTATAAGACAGGGACTGTAATAATCAATAGAAGAAAGATCTG